ATATATATGGCTTGGAATGGGTGGTACAGCATTTGGCCAATAAGCATAAAGCCTTGACTTCAGTTCCTAACACCACAAAGATAAGAAAGGGAAGAAAAGGAAGCTAATAACATTAATAGCTACGTGTAGATACTAAACTAAAGAACTGTTCTAAGGAAGTAAACTTTTCCCTCTTATATCTGGGAAATAAAACTAATATTAGTAGACAGGTAACTTTCAGCCTAAGGGAAATCTAACCTTTCTACCACTTAGAATTAACCTGCATGTGCTAAAATCATTAGATTTCCATTATTGGAACTTCATAAGTGAGAGTATACCAGCTTTGTGTGAAAGTAGTGAAGGTTGAATTTGAGGACTTTAAACATTCCCTGAGCCACAGAATCTAGGATAATTTCATTTCTCTTTGACTACCTCTATAGTCTTTTTATTTTCCTGGTTTGATCAGACTGACTTTATTACATTGAGAGTTGACTACGTATTTTTAAATTACTCTTAAGATTCCCCCCACCCAAGTCACTCAGATATTTCTCAGTGTATATAATAGTGGTATTCCTTTTTTCTATATTCCTTTCTGATTTTCATTATGAAAAGCATGAAATACCAATTAGGTGAACTAACAGAAGTAATAAAACAAGCCTAAGTTGGGAAAAGAAAATATAAATTCTGTCTTAAAATAACATGGCCCCCTCCCTTTTTTTTTAAAGCTTCTGTCCCAGCTCCTGTCCCAAGAGAGGGACAGGAGGGGAGGCCCGAGTGGGTAGTCCCCCCCCCCACTTTTTTTTTTAACATGGCCTTTTTTTCTTTCTTTCTTTTTTTTTTTTTTTTTCTGGCCCTTTCTTATGTTCTTTTTCAAGCATTAAATTATAGTAATTTAGTAAATTTTGTAAAAATACAAGAAAAAGAGATAATATTAAGCCACTATAAAAACAATAACAACAAACCACTATCAGCTAGATGTGGTGACACACATCTGTAGTCTTAGCTCCTTGGGAAGCTACTTGGGAAGCTGGAGTTGAGGCCAGCCTTATCAACATAGTAATATATTATCTTGGGGGAAGTGGAGCACAATCAACTGTAAAAATGTAAACAATGGAAGTAAATAATAAAGGAACTGTAATAGTTACAAAATAACCTGATTTGTTTTTATTTCAGGATGTATGACAATCCTGCCCACAATTCTGTTCTTAATTGCAAGAATATTGAAAGACACAGCAATAAAGTCTGTAGATAATCAAGTTCCTCTGCCTGTCAGTGCGGCTCTTCAAGGGATTAAAAGTATTGTGACACTTTCAATGGCCAAAACTGAGGAAACCCAGAAGCAGTGGACAGCTCTAATTCGTAGCACTCTTGCATGCATCCTAGAATATTCTCAACCAGGTAATATATTTGAGTTTTAAAAATTAAATCTGTTAGGATATCTGTTCCCTAGTTCATTCTTTGAACAGACTTGTCAGAAAACTGCTGTATAAAACTGGATCAACTCAGCTCTTACAGTCACCTCATTTCGACTTGAAATTCAGTGGCCCTCTATGGAATGTTGACTCCAGTTGCCCTTGTCTTAGCACTTTGGTGCAAGATTTTTAAACAAGACACTAAATATGCCCCGAATTGACATGTGTTGATACATTTATGTTTGCTTCAAGGTTGTTTGTTTTGTATTTTTTAGGGAAGGGTGTACAGGGTGTTCAGGGTCTCACTACTAGATCGGACTCATAGTGATCCATGTGTTTACAGCTTCCCAGGAGCTGGGATTACAGGTACGCCACCACATCCAGTCTCAATTGCCATCTCAGCACACCCCGGGGGTGGGGCCGGCATGACAGGCTCTGGGATCAAACCCCTGGCCCCTGTACCTGCTTGTAGGTGCTTTTATCTGCTGAGCTATTTGGCTGGCCCTCAAGTTATTTTAATAAAAATTAAAAAATAGAGAAATTAAAATGCCCATCATCCTGCCAATATGCTGGCAACTAGAAGTGCAATCTTGATACTGAAATATTTCTAAAAATATGTATCTTTTTCTATTAAATATGTCCTGTATTCATATTTATCAATTATGTTAATATACTCTATAGGGTGCATTATATATACCTAAGTAACAAGATACAACATTCATGCTTATTTTTTAATTTATATAATAGATTAATATCAGCTGGGGAGATAGCTCAGCAGTGTAAGCCCCTGCCTGGCAGGCAAAGGTCCTGAGTTCAATCTCTGATACCCCCCAAAAATTTAATATCTCATTTTACTTACATAGCCTTATCAGTAGTTAATTTTTTTTTTTTTTTTTTTTTTTTTTTGTAGAACTGGGGATTGAACTCAGGCCCTTGCGCTTGCCAGGGAAGCACTTATTCCACTGAGCCATCTCCCCGGCCCCAGACATACAATTTAAACCTAACATTGTTAGGGCCAGGGAGATGGCTCAGTAGCACGCTTGCCTGGCAAGCGCAAGGGCCTGAGTTCAAGCCCTGGTTCTGAGAAAAACAAAACAAAACAAAAAAAACCCAATAAACCTAACGTGTTACTAGATAATAGAATTACAAATTTTATTTTTATCCTTATACATGTGTTACTTTTATAATGTGATTTTTAGAAATTATAAAGGAAAAAGTTTTAGTTGTATTAATATAACTAAAATTATTTTAGTTTTATCAAGAGTTAATATTTTCGGCCAGTGAGATAGCTCAGTGGACTAAGCGCCTGCTCAGGCAAGTGAAGGAACCAGGGTTCAATCTCTGGCACCACATGTCATGCTGCCCCAGCACTGAGGCGTGCTGAGCCAGCCACTGAGTCCGAACATGGTGGCATGTCTATAATCCCAACCCTGGGGAGGCTGAAAGCAGGAGGATCATTACAGGTCTGAGTTGAGTAGTGAGAACCTGTACCAAATACATTAAAAAAAAAAAAAGAAAAAAAGTTAATATTTTGCATTCATTGATTGAGATAAAGTCTCACTGTGTAGCCCAGATTGGTTCTGAACTCATAGCAGTCCTTCTGCCTCAACCCCCTGAGTGTTAGATTCTGCAGGAGCAAAATAGTGAACACTGTTGGTGGTTATGGTGATGCATGCCTATAACCCCAGCACTTGGGAAGCTGAAGTACAAGGATCACCATGAGTGTGAGGCCAGCCCGCACTATGTGGTAAAGCCTTGTCGAAAGAAAGAAAGAAAGAAAGAGAACACTGATATATCCTCCTAAAGGCACCAATTAACATTTCATGAAATGTGTTATTGTTCCCTGTCTAATCCAAATATCCTGATTGTTATTAATTTTGCTGAACTACTTAAGAATATGTTGAAGTCATCATTGACTCTTTTCCTAAGTATTGCCTAGATATCCTAAGACCAAGGACCTCCTTTACCTAACCAAAAAGAATTAACAAGTTTAGGCAATTTGTCATTAATACAGTACTATTGGGCCGGTGAGATAGCTCAGTGGTCTAAAGTGCCTGTTTAGGCAAACTTAGGCAAGCGCAGGAACCATAGTTTGATCCCCGGCACCACATGTGCTCCAGCCCTGTCCCCAGGGTGGGCTGAGCTGGCCACACACACACACACAAAAAAAAACAGGAATACAGTGCTATTAATGTTCATTGCAGATTTTAAAACCTTTCCTAATAAGGACTTTTATGGAACTTTTTATTTAGTTATTATATTCCTTTAAGTTCTTTATTTCTCAGCCTTTATCTTTTATGACTTGAATATTTTCAAAAAATATAAACCATCTATTTTGTAGAGTGTTCTCAATTTAGATCAGTCTAATTTTTTTCTCAGTTTAAACTACATTTTTGGTAGGAATACTACATAAGTAATGTTGCATATCTCTTCTGGTGTCATATAAAGAGGCAAGTAATACTGCCTTGCTCCTTTATTAAGAATTGCGAGCTTAATAACTTGGTTAAGATGGTGGCTGTGGGGGGCCTGCCCCTTAGCTCAGTTCTTTAAGTGGCTGCTTCCATAAAGCAGTCAGGCTCAGGTTGCTGTGGTTCAATCCCCGCAACTCAAGCCAGCCAAACCTGCCCTGAAGGCATTGGGAGCAAAAAAAAAAAAAAAAAAGATGGTGGCTGCCTTGTGTTTCCATTTTTAAAGTTGACATTTCTGGGGCTGGGAAGATAATTCAGCAGTACTGAGTTCGATTCTTAGTACTACATACCATGCTGGCCCCAGAACCCTGGGCATGCTATGCCAGCCCTGAAACTGGGCATGGTGGCGTAAACCTATAATCCCAGTGCTGGGGAGGCTGAGACAGGAGGATCACTAGGAGTCTGAGCTGCAGAGGGAGACCCTGTACCAAATAAATAAAAATTTTTATAAATTAAAAAAAAAAGTTGCCATTTTTCTGTTGATAATTAAAAGGTAAAGGGTAAAGAGATTCTTTGAGATTATCTTGACTGTCTGCTCCCCTCCAACTTTCCACGTGGTAGTTTTGTTTTGCTTTGTTTTCACACAGTACTTTTAGAATTCATTTTGCCTGAATCACTTACTATAATACTTTGAAAATGATAGTTTTCTAATATATATTTTTAACTGATACACTGCTCACTCTGGGTTTTTGTTTGTTTTTTAAGATTGAGACACACTGCTAAAAATATTGGGGGAAGAGAGAGTTGATACTGGAATTCCAAACAGTATTAGAAATAGCACTTTGCTTTCATCTTTTTCAGAGGATTCTATGCCTGTGCCTGATGAAGTAAGCATGCTAACAGCAATTGCCCTCTTCCTGTGGTCTGCTAGTAGTGAAATAATAGGAGTCCAGTCATTACAGAGTGGCTGCATGAGCAGATTTAAAAATGCATTAAATTCATGTGATCCATGGGTAAGTTATACTTCTATGAAGAAAAGTTCAGAATAGTTCTTAAAAATATGATACACGGGCCAATGAGATAGCTCAGCGGTCTAAAACACCTGCTTAGGCAAGCTTAGGCAAGCTTAGGCAAGCTCAGGGACCACAATTTGATTCCTGGTATCACATGTCATGCCAGCCCTGGTCCTAGGGCAGGCTGAGCCAGACACACACACACACACACACACACACACACACACACACACGCGTGATACATATAATGAAAACCCAAGTATTTGCAGTATGCTTTTTTTTTTTAATTTTTTTTTTTTAATTTTAACATTTATTGTGTGTGTGTGTGTGTGTGTGTGTGTGTGGCCAGCTCAGCCCACCAGGGGGCGGGGCTGGCTGGCATGTGGTGCTGGGGGACTGAACCGCGGTCCCTGTGCTTTGCCAAGCTTGTTCCAAGTAGGTGCTTTAGACCACTGAGCCATCTCTCCAGCCCCTGCAGTATGCCTTTTAAATGGAAAAACCTAGAAAACATCAGTGCAGAGATGCATATGTATTTACTCAAATATGCAAAAATTCTCCAATATCTGAAATGTTTGATTACCCTGTGGCATTGGTAAAAACTTACATGATTCTATGATGTTTTCCAGTATTTATTTACATGATAACAAAAACATTAAAAATAAATTTACATTAAATTTACATTACTATATGTTTTAATGAACCTGTTAAAAACTAAAAAAAAAAGTTGTTTTATTATTAATCTTTTAATACCAGGAATTGAACTTAGGACCTTGTGTTTGCCAGGCAGGTGCTATATCCCTAGTCCTCAAATTTATTTAGAAAGCATGTTTTATTATTTTATAGCATCAAAATCTGAGCTCATTGGGAACATTGCTGGCCACTACCACTAGCTTCCTACAGTCTTCAGATTTGTGGCTCAGAGATACGTATTCTTAAACTGTTCCTTGATATTTCTGACTCTAGTGAAGTTTGGCAGTTTGTGTGCTACGAGAGCACTAAGACAATTTTATTCACTATTTATTCTATATTTTGATGAAATGTTCTTTCCTTTATTTTTTCTTTTTCTTTCTTTCTTTCTTTTTTTTTTTTTTTTTTGAGACAGGATCTTGCTATGTAGTTCAGGCTGGCCTCGAACTTACTGTGTAGCCCAGACTAGCTTCAAACTAACAACAGTCCTCCTGCTTCAGCCTCCTCAGAACTGGGATTATTGAATGTACTACTACACTCAGCTCAATGTAGTTCTGTAGCTTTTTTCCCCCAGATTATTGCTTTAGTCACCCTCTGTACTACATTAGGTTAAAATAAGAAAGATAGTTGGACATTAAAGGGAGAATTAAGAACAGAAATTGGAATTCCTGGTTTCTTGCTGTGCCACACTGTAAAAAAAATGTGCATTAATTTCTTTCAGGTGTGTGTGCGCGTGTGTACAGGGAATCGAACTCAGGACCGCTTGCTTGGCAGGCAGGTGCTTTACTGCTGAGCTACATATATCCCTGGCCCTCTTTCCAGTTTTATTTAGTTTTTGATAGTTCCATTATTCCCCATTTCTCTTTGTGTAAAATGGTCTTCTATTTTCATTCTGCAGTACCCCTTCTTTTCAGTAAATATTAAAATACAGTGTTTTTTTTTTTTTTTTTTGCGGAACCGGGGATTGAACTCAGACCCTTGTGCTTGCCCGGGAAGCACTTATTCTACTGAGCCATCTCCCCGGCCCTAGTGGATTATTAAACACTTAAAACTACTGCATACGTTAACTGATAAAATGATTTTCTTATATAGGTTCAAGCCAAATGTTACCAGCTTCTCCTCTCAGTCTTCCAACATTCCAATCGTGCCCTCTCAACTCCATATATCCATTCATTAGCACCAATAGTGGTTGAAAAGTTAAAAGCTGTTGAAAGAAACAGACCAGCCAGTAACACAGAACTTTTAGCTGTTCAAGAAGGAATTAAAGTTCTTGAAACACTGGTTGCTCTCGGTGAGGAACAAAACAGTAAGTATTTTCTTTAAAAATTACTAGTTCAATTGGGTTTGGTGGTGCATGCCTGGAATCCCAACACTCAGGAGGCTGAGGCAGGAGGATCACTGCTCATTTGAAGCTAGCCTGGGCTACATAGTGAGTTCAAGGCCAGCCTGAACTAGTGAGATCCTGTCAGTAAATAAGTAACCCAATCATTGGTTCAACTGTTGAGGGACCGGGGAGATGGCTCCGTGGAATAAACGCTTCCCTGGCAATGCAAGGGCCTGAGATTAATCCCTGGTTCCACCAAAAAAAAAAAAAAAAAAAAAAAATGTTGATTTGTGTTTTATAGCTAGATTATTCTATTTTAGACATGGATCTTTGCAACAGTAAGTTTACTAAGGAACAACTGCTGTCTGAAAGGATAATGTATTTGCTTATGTTACCAATATAATTATTGATCTTTTTTTTTTGAGTAGGAAGTCACAGTGAATTACTGACAGCATTTCAACATACTGGTTTAAAAAAAAAAGTAGGAATGCATTATTTAAGAACTGGGAAAAAATGCTGGTGATGGTGGACAGGCCTCTAATCCCAGCACTGGGAAGCTAAGGCAGGAGGAGTCCCATAAGTTAAAGGCCAGCCTGTGTTAGGCTAACCTGAACTATGTAAACCAATGAGACTTCTTGAACAAAGAACTTGGAAAAATGTAGATATTTGGTTTTATGTTTGTCTGTTTGGTTTGTTTGCTTATTTTTACACAGTACTGGAGATTGAACCCAGGGCCTTTACACTGAGCTATCTCTCCAACCTGTTTTATTATTTTGAGACAAGGTCTTTCTAAGTGACTAAGTTACCTAGGTGGGGCTTGAATTTACAAACTCGTGCATCACCTTCCCAACATGCTTAGTAGAGTTTTAAAATGACTACTCTTCATAACAGAAGTATAAAAGTCTTATACCAAATACAATTAGATCAGTATGAATACCTAACATCATTTTTAAAGTACCTCAGATTTAGGGGCCGGGGAGATAGCTCAGTAGAATAAGTGCTTACCTGGCAAGTGCAGGGTCCTGAGTTCAATCCCTGGTACCGCAAAAAGGAAGGAAAGGGAAAGGGAAAGGGAAAGGGAAAGGGA